ATTTCCACAGAAATCCAACACAAACAAGATTCAATTCTTATATTCATCACCCATTTCGCCTTCTTAAAAACCCAAAAGCCGAAAATGAAATCGATGTATGTTCTCTCGATCGACCATCGAGCAGATCACCAATAACGTTCAATCCGAAATTCCAGATTTCCAACAAAAAAATCCAACAGAATTAAACAAATTTAAGATTTACAAGAGGAAATGACACATCAGAATCAAAGATCCACAACACAAATTGGATCCCTGGGCGAGGAAAACGAACCTGGTGGGTTGTTGATGCAGCGGCTAGTCGTAAGAACACGAGACCCGGCACCGGCATACGAGGCCCCAAGTGAAAGAGAGACAGAAACGTATGATGAGCACATGCAACTATCAAATGCCCGTTTGTATATTATTTACGGAAATTTTCATTTTTAAACCTATCTTTATTAAATAATATTTTATTTTTTCTCATTCACAAATTAATTTTAATAAATAAGAAAAATAAAGTAAAAATAATTCTGTAAAAATTAATAATTTTCAACCATTTATTTTAAACTTTAATGTCAAACATTTAATAACTCATTTAATGCATAAGATAAAAAAAAAAAAACTTATTTTACTATTTTTAGATAATACCTTAATAAATAGTTAATTTTCTAATTTTTAAAAAAATTTAAAGTTATATTAAGATATAAATTTGTAATTTAACATTTAAGTCTCTATTTAGTAATTTTTTTTTATTTTTTATAATTATTGGATTGGTCTTTAACCTTTTGAAATTTACAATTTTATCTATATTAAAAAATAATCCTCTTTAGGCTTCGGCCTCCTCTCGAGGCTTAGGGAAGGTTTCCACCCGCTTATAAATGGTGGTTTGTCCTTGTTGGCACTCTTTCTTTCCTCCAATCGATGTGGGACCGCCCCCAAATTCACCTCCTTTGGGGTTAGCGTCCTTAACACACCGCCTCACTCTTTCTTTCCTTCAATCGATGTGGGACTGCCCTCAAATCCACCCCCATTTAGGGCCCAGTGTCCTTACTGGCACATCGCCTCATGTCTACCCTCTTCGAGGAACAACGAGAAGGTTGGCACACTATCCCGTGTCTAACTCTGATACGATTTGTAACGGCTCAGATCCACCGCTAGCAGATATTGTCCTCTGTGGGTTTTCCCTTTCGGGCTTCCCCTCAAGGCTTTAAAACGCGTCTACTAGGGGAAGGTTTCCACACCTATTATGGTGGTTTGTTCTCCTCCCAACTGATATCACAGTACTATTAGTTAATTATAATAAATAAATAATAATGTAATTAAATATATATTAATTAATTATCTAACAGGCTACAAGCCCATTTTCTAATTAAGCCTGTTTCCAGCAAATTATAAGATGGGCCATCTTACAACTGGCCCAAGCCCAATTTCATATCCAGATGAAGTGAAAAGACGCCCAACACCTTCCTTCGAAAAAGAAAAGTATAAATAGTAACAGAGCATTAGTTTACTATTTTCCTGCCCTAATTTTTTTGCGTGTTCGTTTGGGAGCAAGTAGAAGGCGAGGTTGAAGATGACTGCGCCAGACACTGTAGCTTCCTCTTCCCAAGTGAAGGTATAATTCTGTCCTCCTTTTCTCTTTAATGGCGGAAAGCGACCTTCTGCACTCTTTCGCGCTTCGTTTTCTGCTTCCTCTTTTTCTTGAGGCTTACTTCGGTCTTCCGTTTTTTGTGGAATTTGTTGGTGCTTTGTTTGATTCTGAGGATACGAGTAGTTTACTCAGTGGTGTACCGGTGTTTGGTTTATTCGAACTCTGATATTGTTTTTTGGACTGCAGTTCATAATCCTTGGAAAGATACTTCTACTGATTTTAAGAAATCTCGCTATTTGGTATACACATTAAATAGATTTTGGTTCTACTATGGATCTTACTTTTATTCACAGTGCCGTGGTAATTAATAGGCTACTCGTTGAAAGTATTGGTTTTTTTTGTGTGTACTTCGGATTGTTCTTACCCTCCTTGGACTTGGGGTGCTTGTTTTAGTTTAGGTGTTGCTATTGTTGTAAATGATGGATTGCGTGGTCCAGAAACATTGTTCTGCTCTCATCTACTGAGACCATTCTTCGAACTTCATCTCAGTGAGTTAAACTAGCCGACAAACGAATCCAATTGACCCAAAATAAGTTAGCGTCTTTTCCTTAAAAATACCGTGCCAGCTCCCCTCCTTCTTTCTCCTTTAGACAAACGATCGGCTCTCTTTCTCAGAGTTTCACATCGAAAAAGTATCGGAGAAGGGTATGTATCACATCACATCTCACTTGGTTCGTGTTCTACTTTGATTTCAACTCGGGACAGTAGGACTGGTTGAGCTTTGCTGGTTTATATTCATGATTTAGAGTCGTAACGTTAATAGATATTATACATTGGAGGCCCCAAAGGGAGTGGTCTGGTCGGCTAGACCCGCGGTATTTGAATCTTCTGGTGGGCCTTAGGTGCAGACTTTCTTAAAAGGATAAAAGATAGCCGTAGTAGGTTGGCAGGCAAGTATTCTGAGTGTTTTGCACCCGTTTGTTCATTTCCCTAATCTTAGCCCTCTCGCTCCCTCCGTCTCTTCTTCTGTTTTCCTTTTTTAGACTAGCAGTCCAGGATTAAAACCAACTAAACCTAAGCGCTTACACCCTTATTTAAAACTAGGCAGGAAAATCCTTCCTTTTGAGAGTAAAAGAGTGCTTGTTTACCTCTCAAGCTTGGATCTATATGAATTTGGAGGAGTGTTTAAAATGTTCTGTTGATTGTAATTGCCTCTTTGATAAGAAAATACAGGTAAAAATCGACTGTATTTCAACTTTAAAAAAAAAAAAAGAATTAAAATTTACTCTTTACCGATGCCCTATTGCTCACTTATTTCTATGCAAATGACGAAGGGAAATGAAAATGGAGAATAATTGCTATCAGATATTTCCCCCTCATCTTACTTATTCATTCCCCTTCCCCCCCCCCCCCCCCCCCCCCC